ACAGACATTCGGATGGTGGGGGAAGAAGAACAAACTGGGGAGGAGGGTAGAGAGAATGGTGCAGCAATGAAGGAATGAAAACCCAAAATCCCTGTAACTGTTCATTACAACTAATAAAATTTAATAATTAAAAAAAAGAAAAAAATAGAATCCCCCCCCGCAAAAAAAATTAATGGTATTTTCAATTGCTCTTTATGTCTCTGAAAGCTGGACAATGAGAATGACAGAATAAACTGTCACAAGGCACCTAACATAGCGAACCTATGAAAAACAGATCTGAACCTTGCCCTATCCTGCACCATTGTCATCCTCTCTGTCATACTGGAGTGACTGTTATAATGTCACTGTGTGAATCCAAATCATTGAGTATGTCCTCTCTTTCACAGACTCTCTTACTTTCACAACATGATGTCTTTTTCTAAGAACTGGCCCCTCTTGCGATATGCTCAAACTATGTGAGATGAAGTTTCACCATTTTGCCTCTCAAGAGTATTCTGGTTGGAGTTCTCTTAGCACACATTTGTTTGTTCTTTTGGTAGTCCATGGTATATTCAATACTCTTCCGCACACCACAATTCAAAGGCATTGATTCTTCTTCGGTCATTTGTATTCATTGTCCAACTCTCAGAATTATTGAAACAACTGAAATACTATTGCTTGGATCAAGTGCTCGTTGGTTTTTAAACTGAAATCATTGTTCTTTAGCTCTCTGGAGAAGTCCTTGACAGTACATTTTCCCAATGGCCTATGTCTTTTGATTTCTCGACTATTGCTACTTATGGGTGTTGTGAATCCAAGTAAAAGGAAATTGTTAACATCTTTAATCTTTTGTCCATCTATCATGATGTCTATTTTTCCAGTGTGAGCATTTTTGTTTTCTTTATGTTGAGATGTAAACTATATTGAAAGCTGTACTCCTGAACTTCTTCAATAGTAAGTGCTTCAATACTTCTTCACTTTATGCAAGCAAGGCTGAGGCTTCTGCTATATTTGATGTCAAATTCTTCTTCATATAGTCTAGCTTCTTGAATTATGTATTCAGCATAAAGATATAATAGGACTGGAGAAGGGATACAACCCTGATAAACACTTTTCCAGATTTTAAACCATATAGTATTCCATCGTTCTGTTTGAACAACTGTTTCTTGACCAAATATCACAAAAGCACAATTAAGTGTTCTGGGACTTCCAGCACTCTCAGTATTATCTATAATTTATTATAATCTTTATAACTGAATGCCTTTACATAATCTATAAAGAACAAATAAATATCTTTTCACGATTTTCTGTTTAATTTATAGGCTCTGCTAAAAAGCACAACATCTTATAAAGTCATTTAAGCCCAAGATGCTGTTGTTTGGTACTGCTGAGTCAGTTCTAACTCATAATGACTCTTTGTACAGAAGAAAACACCATCCAGACCTGGCCATCCTCATAATTGTCCAGAAGGTAAATGGCAGTAGCTCAGTGATCTGTGTGGATGGCATTGCTTAACCTACGCTCAAAGGATGGAAGGAGGACTGCTGTGATGCTAAGGTTAGATGACTTTTAATACCTTTTCCATGACACTGTCCTTGGGGCTTTATCCTCTACAGACCTCAACTTTACTCATCTACCCAGAGACTTAATTCTAAGTCACCTTCTCTAGTGCCTTATATATATCATTACCTTTATGCGAACTTCATGTGCCTTTGGGGGTGCCACCTCTATCTCCTCAATAGAGAGGGGCTTTCCTGCTTCCCATGCTACCGCAGCTTTACATTTGATAACCTAGAATGAGGAGAGAAAGCAAGCTGTTTAATTCTCTTAAAATAACAAAGTACACAGAAATCAATTTAGATATAGCTGAATGCAAATCTTATAAAATTTATAATAGAACTCCTAAGTAAAGAAGAAAACTGTCAACATGTTTTAAGATTTCACATAAACAATGTCTTACACTGAAAGAAAATTGAGATACCCACATGATCAGAAATAAATGTCACTTTTGGTCAGAAAGCTTTATTCAACAAATATTTGACAGTCAAGGGTGAGTTTTGTTCCAGCCTTGAAGAGTAACTAAGGGCGGCATTCTTGGGAGTTCTGTAGGTCTCTGGGCTCAGGGAAGGTTTTAAAACGACATCTATTCCTTACAGTGAGAGCTCTGGTGGTTTAGTCCATTAGATGTTACACAGCTAACCAAAAAGCTGAGTCTCTGATGGTTCAAACTCACCAGGTGCCCCACAGCGAAACAACAGGCAATCTCCTTTTTTTTTTTAACGATTTATATACCCTTGGAAAGCCAATGGACGGTCACTAGGAATCAGAACCAACTTGATGGCAAGGAGTTTTAGTTTTTTACCTTACAACTGTGCTCTCAAAAAACAGTAGTCACTAGCTATTATTTGTTACTGGGCACAAGAGAAATGGCAAATCTGTCCTGAGAAATCTTGCAAATGTAAAAGACTTTGAAGACTTGGTATTAAAAAAGGGAAAAGATTCATTAATAGTATGAGAAAATTTAACGTATTGGGTCAAATAATATTTCTAAAAAATTACCTTAGAGGTTCTAATCTGTATACCTAGAGGGTCTAGTCAGTTCCCTTTGTTGTTATGAGCCGTTAAGTCACCTGAAACCCAGAGACCTTACGTACAGCAGCTCTGAATCCTGTCCTTGAGCCAGTCTAATTCTGACACACCAACCCCCATAGCCCCAGTTACTCTATCAATCCAAATTTTTGGGGGTCTTCCTCTCCTGTGCTGTCCCTCCACCCTTCTGAGGACGATGTCCTTATCCATCAAAATCCTAGCTTCCAAGGAGAGACCTGGTTTCACCCCCTCCAAGACACAACTATTTGTTTTCTTAGCAGGACATGGTTCCGTTTACAACCAGAGAAAGCAGCATAATGAGGACGGCTTAGATCAATTCATATAATGCTTATGGTATGCATTAACATAAAGTTGCAGACCACTGGATTTATGGCAGACAGATTTGAAAATCAGTGTAATTAAAGAGATTTGCACAAAGTATTGGAAAGCAAAAAGTGGGCTCAGTGTTAACTGTGGTTGCAGGGCTTGGGAAAATATCACTTTTAAATGGAAGAGATGAACAGTTACAAATGGTGATTAAACACCTACAGAGAGTTAACTGTAAGGAGTACGTGAAAAGAAATTTGAAATCCCTACTATAGTCCCTGACACAGTATAGCTTTGTAAACATAAATTAGCAGTTATTAATTTGCTCGGCTCCACAGTCAACACTCTTGGTACCAGCAGTCAGGAAATCAAAAAGC